ACCGATTCGAGTCGGGAATCGAGGAACATCGAGGAACGCGTTCGAGACGAATCGACTGGCATACTCTTCGGCAAAGGAGGACCGAGAAGAAGAGGGAACACGCGAGCCGACAAAACGAGTGTCAATCGGTCTCCGGCTCCATCGGCCGGCCGCGTTTTTGTCGACGATGAAGGAATGACGGATCAATCGACACTCGAATCGAACTGGATGGACGTTTTCATCGGAAAGCGGCGAAAACCAACCCCGCTCCCTTTCCTCTTCGCGAGAACCGACCTGTCCCGTTCTCGTACTCTCGACAACAAATCTTTCCAAGATATTTATTTTTTCGTTCCACGGATCGGAGCTGGTCGGTTCCACGCGTAGCCCGTCTCTCTTCGCGAAACTTGTCCAATTTCCGATTCAACTATCTCGCCTAACCTTTTCATCCTACATTTATCGTTTCCGTACAACGTACTTCGAAGATCTTGTCTAAAAAGATTAACGACAAAAATAGTAAATTACTCGACAACTTTGTTCTTATCCCCTTAACGTCGTAGCTATCTATCTACGCGGCAGAGATTCGGCAACGGTTCGAAGGATCCGATTAAATCGCCTTTGATCCCTCTAGATCCTCTCGAACGGTCACGAGACGCGCAAGAGGGCTCATAGAGACATTAGAAACGATCGAGTAAAATGCCAAGCGAGAGATAAGGGATGAGCCAAGCGCGGAAAGTTCATATAAAATGACAGGCGGTCGATTAAACGTTTCGCCAGCGGCGAAAGTTTTCGAGACGAGTGCTGTTAGAATCGTTGGGGATAAGAAGCCGGTCGTTAGCGAACCGTTTATATCGCCGCGCGACGATTACACAGCCGACGATAATAAATTACCGTTCTTCGATCGAATCTGCTCACGGCCCATGGAAAATCTTCATTTTCGTTCGAACGACGCGTTTATCGTGGTCACCGTCAATTTCGCGGAACCTCCAACGACCCGATATTAAACTCGAAGCGCGAACGCGAATATTAACTACGGGTCAATCGCTGAACGGTTAAATTAACCTTTCTACATCTAAGCTATTTTTCGAATAACCTATTCGATATATCGATCTGAAAAATTACCTTTCGTCTTTGGATTCGCGTCTGCCTTCCTTTCTATCTCTCTCCTTGTCCTTGATGCCGTCCACCTTCTTCGCCTTGGATTTCGATTTGGAATCGCCTTTGACGACCTTGTGCTCAAGGACGACGCTGTTATCGCCTGCCACGATGCCTTCGTTGTTCAACTGAGCACCGGAAGTACTCGACGAAGAGGAAGTCGAGGCACGGCTGTTAGTATAGTCCTGTACGAGGAGTGCACCTCGTTATCCGTGATACGTTCAACGACTAACACCGATTAACGTGACCCTCCGATCTCGTCGTAATCGCGAGCAGCTTACCTTAAACCACTCTGGGTATATCGCGCTGATGGTGTCTAGAAGATCCTGATCGAGTTGAATCCTCCAGAAAGGGGAGCCGCTGTCCAACCTGTGGCCAGACTCTGCAACAGACAACGTACCGGCATCCTTATTCACTCGTTTTATTTAAATACACCGAATCTTCGATATAGCGTTCATTCTTATACGATTTTTTTTACACGCGGCTATCCAGCAAGTTCGCTGAACGCCGGATGCTCGACACGTGCTAAACTGAGCGTTATTTCGCTAAAAGCGAAACATTAAGACAGCCCAAGAACAAGAAAAATACGTGGTAAACAGCAGAAATCGTGAAACGAACTAGAATGCCTGGCCACGATTTCGATAAATCCGTTTTTCGCGATGCAAGCGACACTAGGAAAAACCCGCACAGAGGAGCGAAACAACAGAAATAGCTAGATCAGATATTGATCGGCGATTCGTGCAGGTTATATATCTTATGAAATCGCGACGTGGTAATAAAACGGGAGATGCCGAACCCCGAGAAGAAAATACGAGGTTCGTAGGGTTTTTCTGGTAATTCTATCATCTGAACGGATCGGCGACCTCATCGATCAACGGCGAAGATTCACAGCGATTAAATATAGGATTTAGAGCGTGCAATCGTACGACCCACCGCGCGAAGGTTGACCGGTTGGGCCCTAAGGAGTCATTCCCACCGCATAAGGGCTAATGGTACCCCGACGACCAATAGTCCGAAGGCGTATCAAAACCTCGTGGAATGCTGGCCGCTGCGTTTCTTTCGTGGATTCCGCGGGATTCCCTGCCTAATTTAAACGTTCGTCCCTGCCGGTCGTCGCGTTGAATCGCGTCGGTATCGCGTCGGTTGGAAGGGATCACCTCTGGACACGCAGCAGACGAAGGACGTAGGAGGGGACAGAGGGTGGAACACCTCGTTACGACGACATTCTACGCTCGAGACGCGTGCCCTGCCTTCGTGATCGAGCCACGAATCGGCCAGACGGAGAAGGAGATCGGAAAAAGGAGGAAGAGCGCTCCCGAGGGACTTTCGGACTCCTTACCGACAGAAAACACCGGCTACCGACCGGTCCATGTTCACGACTCTCGAGTGACCGTGGAAAAACTCCGTTTTCAGGACTCGGGGGCTTCGTTAAGAGGACTAACAACGACAACGGCGAGGGGATCGTGACGAGCCTGCGAGGGGAACGTTCAGTCGTATCGGCGATCGCTTTTATCGGTTATTGAGACGTCTATACCGATGGATCGATGATCGATTTACCGATGAATCGTTGGAAATTGATTTTATAAGTCTACGGTAAAGTCTGTGTATGCGCCGATGCATCGTGTAAACCCTCGTGTACGTGTTTCAATCGACAATTTATTACGTAAATAATTGCGTTCAATTATTAGAAACATTTTTTTTTACATATTACTCCTACTCGAACAACCGTACTGTAAACGATGCGAATACTCGTTCGACGTAGTTTATACTCTTTCGATAGTGCCAGCTATACCGGTCGAGTAAAGTCCTCTGCAAATTCGATTTATTGTTAGACAATTAAGATAGAATTTGATCGAAGAAACTTGAAAGATAGTCGAGAGGATCCGGAAGAATCAAGCGAGATTCGACTTCAACCGGACGAATGATCTGCGAGTCGATTGGTACCAGGAATAAATGCTCGATCGGTATGCACGCGTCGGACAATTCGCTGTAAATCACGTCGTGAATCATTCGTCGACATAAATCTAGTCCGATCCCAACCGGTTCGACACATTAGTTAAACGATGCGCATGCAGTCGTTTACGGGACACGGGTCGCGATCCACCCATACCTCGAAATCTCTCTGGTCCTGTAGAAATATAAAAACCGCCCACGACGCCAACGGCCTAATAGCGACGATTCGAAGCGACTTTGATCAAAAACGATACATCACGACTGATTTGTGATGTCTCGATCGGATAACAGCGTCCTTTCGGTTTAACGACACCTTTCACTGGCCTCGGAGAATCTTCGGTTCCAGAGAGGAAACACTCGGAGAAGCGATCTCGAGAAAAAACATCCCCCAAGTGGATATTCCTTCCCTAAACTCTCCCGGATGTCCTGCTCGTGTTCCAAACGGACTACATATAGGAATAAGGAGACTTATTTTTCGATACATAGGATTCGAAGTAAAATAAGAAACATAATATCCGACGTGGATTTCGAAGACTTCATCCTGGTAATCGAAACATTAAATACCGCGATGTTCGAATATTAATGAGAGCCACTGTATACCGAGCCACGAATGGACTCGAAGATATTATCGACTGGTTCGTCTGGAAAGGATCTTCCAAAGTCTTGCCAACATAATTACGATAATATGGAGATACACGGATTGGATGTTCCTCGTCGAATACTAATTACGTCCTGTATCCATAAATCATCCGAATAAGCTGTCGCTGCTGGTTTCACGCAGGGAAGACTAGTTTCTCGTTGGAAAAAAGAAGGAAACTCGCAAGACGTTGTTGGAAGCTTCTTCGACGCGAGCTTACCTTCGATCAGAGAACGCAACGTGTCGCGAGAAAAGTGCATGGACCACGAGAACGATAACAAACATTCGGCGACTGGCTTAGCCGATCGAATGGCGGACTCGATGGCTGAACATATTCCATGGAAGATTCCGAATGCGAAATGCATTCCTCGAAAGCGGCCACGGCATTGGTTACCCGTCGAAATTCGCCCAAATAAATCTCGCGCTTCCCTTCTCTTCCATTTCTCTCTATCGCGTCTCTTCGCTCCTTCGGCTCCTCCCTCTTCTTCTCGACTACCGTTTCTTCTTCATCTTGCTCTTGTTCTTCTTCCTCGCTTCGTGATCCTTCGATCTTCGATCCGCTTGCACACTGACACGCCCGACCGAGGAACACGCTCGAGAGTATACGTACACGTGTACGCGTCCACACGAGTTCCACTGCCTCGTATATTGGGTGACTCGTTTCGTAGTCGTATCTCGTTACATAGGTACCTTCAAAATCGTACGAAATATTTTATTGTTTTTTTCTTCTTGGCTTCGGACAATTTCGAGTGAAAGTCTTCGAAAGACTTTTCCTCGGAGTTTCGGAAATTTGTTGCCGTCAAACTGGAGTTATTCGTTGCCAGGTACGATATCGGTACAGAATTCCTTCAATCTAGTACGAAACAGGAAACGAGGAAGAAGAAAAGACTTTTCTTCTGGGAAGGGGAAGGTTTTCTTGGCATGGCGCAACGAGCATCGATATCAGGAAGAGTCGAGCACGGTACGAGCACGGTTGCGGTGCGGCGTGGAGCGTCGATTCTCCGAAAGGGACGAGATCGACGGGAAAAAAGTCGAGAAGAAAGGGGGAAGCGAAATCCCGATGCGAACCGTCGCCGTTCTTGTCGGCCAGCCAGACGGCAGCAAAGGGGAACACCCTGTACATGCCAACGACATTCCCGAAGTGCAGCGTGCAGTTTTTCGCGGCTACCGGTGCAGGCCCTGACGAGAGAGTGACTCACGGAGTCGAATGCAAGGGCGTACACGCACGTGCTCTTCTCTACATACACGCTTCAACACGTACACGTGGCTTCCACATAGGCACTTACCCGTGCACGTGCACGTGCACGTTCCGCTTTGTATAGGGTGCTTAGCGCGAATCGATCGTACTGCTTTACGATATCGATTAGTTCCTTTTGAGATTTCACGAGATTCCATGCTGCTTCGACGACGAGGGACGAGGTAACGAGGACGTTTACAGGACATCCTCTCAAAGATTCGCTTCTTTTTCCAGACGGGAAATAATCTTACAGTTTTGTACGAATATAAGAGCGCGACCGAAATTTATAAAAATACTAAAATAGTCATTTCGACGTTTAAGCAGAAATTCAAAGCTCGATCGAGTATCGAAATCTGTCAGGTAGATATACATCGAGTTTCAATTACAAAGGCAGCAACGGCAGATTGCATCGGCACGGTAAATCTGGATCCTTAATGCTCTTGAATCGATCATTAATTAAATCGATCATTTTTATTGGTTGCCATCATCGATGAATAAAATATTCGGTCGAAATCGATACGACAAAGGTTTGCAACGGATCACGCGCTTCAAGGAGAAAATGCTCGCAATTTTCAGAATTAATCGTGGCAATTTTTGGAAATTGCCCCGAGGGAGAACCGGATCTTGTCGAAGATACGTGTCCCAGGATCGTCTTCGGTACTCTTCGATGACTTATTACCCGAGCGACGCTTTGCTCCGGGACTCGATCGCTTCGATTGCTCGTTTTTCCACTCTCATCGAGAGATTATTTAGCACTCCATTTGTCGGCGGTATTGCTGGATTATAGAGCATCGAGATCGACCCAGTTGGGACCCAACCTTCTCTTTCTCTTCCGTTCTCTCTTGCCTTCTTTCTCCTTCGCTCCGTGGGATTCGAAGCGTCTCTACACGAGGATCGATTATACGCGTTATTTTCACGCTTATTCGCATAGTCGGGGCAGTTTCGCTGTTTGCACTGGCACGATTCGACGCTTTATCTAATTATAACGCGCTTTTGTTTCGGATAAAAGCAGCTTCGACTGCCAAGCGCTTACTGTTCGCTAGTAGGTATATCATAGTTGATACGCGTAATACAACACTGTATCGCGACTAAGGAACACGGCGCGTTTAAAATACTTGGCGCGACTTCTAACGATTTTACGAATAGAATTCCGCTTGTTCCGTGCAACGTTCTCGTATTTACGTTCGAAAAATCATAAGAAGTCAATCTGTTTATTCGCTCCAACACTAATGACAATGACGAAATCGAGAATCGAATCCGTAGAGTGTCGACGATGTCGCGAATGATCGGAGATCGCGTAGCCGGAAGTGAACTTGTTAGTCGCGCGCTTTGCTCTCGATTTGGGCGGCGTGGCGTTCGGTTACGCCCACGTTGCAACTCGCTCGATAAAAAGTTCCTTTCCTTCATTAACGCCGGTGACTTTTGGACAAAGGATCGAACACAGCCATCGTTTCGCGTACGAGCAGAAAAGGGGATCCTCGTGCGTGGACATTGTTTGTACGTAAGTTACAGGAACGAAGAGCACAAAGCGCCGGTTCCAGCTGACCTATGACCT